TGCAGTAAGTTCCTCATAGTTTCCCTGTAGTTTTTTGTGATTCTCTCTGAGCTCACTGAGCTCATTGAGCTTCCTTAGAACTGTTGTTTGGAACTCAATGCGTGATAGTTTACTTTCCTCTATTTCATTTAGTTCTCTTTCTGGGGATTCCTCCTTTCCCTCGAGTGGGGTGTATTTCTTTGTCTTCCCATTATTTGATAGAGACTCTTCTCTTTTGGTACTGCTTCTGGTTCTGGACTTTGTGGTGTGAACTTCTATGGTTGGAGACTGCTGTTTTTACTTTCTGGATCTGCCTCTGATAATGTCAGATGTTGACCCTGTCTGACCTTAGGCAGTCTGTTAGGCAGTCTGTTCGAGACTTCCAGTAATCTACTCTTTGTGGCTGTCTCCTTCAGCTGTTAATCTATTCACTCTGTGCTCAGCAGGCCACCTTAGACAGCTCAGGGTGGGGCAGAGTCCCTCCTGGGGGTGGGGCTATTGGGTCCTTTGACACGGGTGCCGCTCAGGGGGAGTGGTCTCTGCCTGAACAAGATGGCTGCTGCCGCATAGGGGATGAGTCAGCACTGAGATCCCGCCGGTTACTCTCTCAGTTCTCTTCCCAAAGCCTCCCTCCCCAGTCTCTCCTCAGGCGTCTTTAGCCCACTCTCCCCCGCCTTTGCCAGAGACCAGGGTAAGTGGCTGCAAATAAAAATGTATGTGTTGGCCCTTTAAACAGTTCTTTGCGTCTCCAGCCACCTGTCTCTGGCAGAGAGCAACCCTCACGCTTTTCACAGCTGGCTGTTTTCTGTGTACTTTTTGGGCTCATGTACTGTGGGCTAGAGATCCCCACTTTTGGTTTAAACCCTGCTCTTCTCAGGAGGACCCAACTGGCTTTTTCAATATCTTTCTGGTGCTGCTGCCCATGGGCGCCCCACCTGCCTTCTCAGGTCTGTACCACACTCCTTACTAGTTAGATTGCGCTAAAGCCGATTCTTCTGTCTCCGAGGTTACAAGTCTCCTCTCTCGCTATTGTTCAGTTGTTTGTTCCAGGTGATTTCTCTACAATTTAGTTGTAATTCCAGGTTGGTCCTAGTAGGAGGTCAGTGTGACTTCTACTCACTCCTCCGCCATCTTGGTTCTGCCTCTGAATATTTCTTGCCAGTCCCTCTAGCCTGCAAAATTTTTGTTAGGAAATCATCTGACAGTCTTGTGGAAGCTCCCTTGTAATTAGGTAACTAACTGCTTTTCTCTTGCTGCTTTTCAAATATTTCTCTTGTTTATTGATATCTTGCTGCCTTTAAAAGTCTCCCTTTGTCTTTAACCTTTTGTATTTTAATTATGGTGTATCCTGGTATGGGCCTGTTAGGGTTCATCTTGTTTGGGACTCCCTGCACTTCCTGTAGTTGTATGTCTATTTCCTTTACCAGGGTAGGGAGGTTTTCTGTATATTTTCACATAGGTTTTCAATTTATTGTGCTCTCTCTCCTTTTTATGGCACCCCATGATGCAAATGTTGATATGCTTGAAACTGTCCAGAGGTTCCTTATACCTGGGGTCCCCAACCCCTGGGCCATGGACCAGTAGCAGTCTGTGGCCTGTTTAAATCTAGGTCACACAGCAGGAGGTAAGCAGCAGACGAATGAATGAAACTTTGCTCACGTTACCGCCTGAGCTTTGCGCTCCTATTTCCCCTCTACCTTGTCCACGGGAAAATTTTCTTCCACGAAACTGGTCCCTGGTGCCAAAAAGATTGGGGACCGCTGCCTTACATTATCCTCATCAGAATTTGCTATTCTGATTGGGTGTTTTTTGCTTCCTTATCTTCCAAATTGATGATTTGATCTTCTGCTTCATCTATTCCATTGTCAATTCTCTGTAATGTATTCTTCATTTCTGACTGGTTCTATTATATTTTCTATCTGTGTTTTTATGTTTCCTATTTCTTTGTTAAAGATCTCACTAAGTCCATCTACTCTTCCCCTAAGTTCATTGAGCATCTTTATAACCATTGTGTTGAACTCTGCATCTGATAGATTGCCATTTTGTTCAGTTCTTTTTATGGAGTTTTATTCTGTTCTTTCATCTGGGACATGTTTCTTTGTCTCTTCATTTTGGCTTCCTCCCAGTGTTTGTATCTATGTATTTGGTAGAGCTGCCATGTCTCCCGGTTTTGGTAGAGTAGCCTTGTGTAGTAGGTGCCCTGTTGGGCCCTGTGATTCAGTCTCCCCAGTCACCCAAGCTGGGAGCTTCAGGTATACTTCCCGGGTGGGCTCTGTGCACCCTCTTGTTGTAGTTGAGTCATGATTGCTGTTAGCACGTCAGTGGGAGGGATTTAATCCCAGGCTCACTGGAGAGGACTGGCTGCAACCACTATGAAGGATCTCCTGTGCAGTGGCTGATCCCATAGAGCAGGACTCATTTCAGTGGGGCTCTAGTGCCTGCTGAGTTTGCCCCTTGAGTGTGGTGTTTGTAAAGTGTTTGGGTGGTGGGTGCTTCAGCATGGTCTTAAACTGTCCACCAGGTATGGTAGTTCTGGGGTCTCCCAAGGGGTGCAGGCCAATGTCAGCCAATGCCTGTGCCTTCCCATTGTTACCTGCCAAGAGCTACAGACTGATCTGCAGATGACTGTTTCTTATTCTGGCCTTGAAGGTGCCTGGAACAGGCCAAGCTGTGAACCGAGGTTCCCTTCCACTAGTGCCAAACGTGGCAACTTAGCAAGATGGTACAGGGCATGCCGAGGCCAGATGTGGCTTGTTTCAGAGATTTTAAGAAAATCCACAGCTTGAGGCCATTTGTAGGGGAGAGCCACTGGAAACAGCTTGGGTGGGCTTATACATTGGGTGGGTTGGGGTCTCAGGGGAGTCACCAGGGTGGGGTGAGCAGTAGTAGCCAGGTGATGGAGACTCAGATGTAGTGCCTGCCTGCCAGCTTTGTTGCAGTGGAAGCACTAGCAAAGGAACATAGATAACCTCTGCCAGTATTTCTGTCTGGGAGGAAGCTGTCCCTCCAGCCCCTCACCCTGATGCCAGACAATTCATTTCCTCCCTGTATGTCCCTAGTGGTTTTCAAGCTGCTGCCCCAGCACTGGAATTGAGGGCAAGTGAGTCCAAGTAAGTTCCTTTAAGGGAAACACCTGAAACTCCTGAAGTATTCTTTCTCACTCAGCCACAGTCCTGGCTGGTTTTTACAGCCAGAAGTTAATGGAGACTTCTCTTCCCATCACTCTTACTGGAATCCTAAACTGGGGGCACCTGATGTGGGACCGAGACCCATCATTCTTCAGTAAGGACCAGGGCAACCGAGATATCCTTCCCAATTCTTGACTGCTGCATGTGGTTGTGGGACCATCCCATTCCACCCCTCCGTCCTCCTATCAGTGTCAATGTGGCTTCTTTATATCCTTAGTTATTGGAGTCTCTTCAGCTAAATTTCAGGCATTTCTGAATGATGGCTGTTCTGTAGTTGTAATTTTGATGTGGTGGTGGAAGGATTTGAGTATTGCATTTACCTATTCCAACATCTTGACCAGAAGCTCTCGGCTGGTGTTTGTAAAACACTTGCAGCAAATGGACGATTAGTAATTTTAGTTTATGAAAGCACTGTGGAAGTGGTTGGTTGTCTTAGGCAAGAAAAACTGAACCATAATTTCATTATCAATAAAAGTAGTTGCTTCCAAATACACACTGTCTCTGAGAGTCATAGAAAGTGCCTGGGCTCCTTGTGTGGTTTCTTTGTGTACCCCATAGCATTCCAAAGACTTACAAGTAAACAGTCAGTAAATCATTATGGTGCACTACACATGTGCGAAGTACTGGAGGGGATAACCCCATCTTGACCATCAGGAACTTAAAGCAGAGTTGGAGAACCCGAACTTGGGGAGGCAGTTCCACACTCAGCTGGTTGCATTCCAGACAGTATTCCTAATACAACAGATTGCAAGTGTGAGCCACAGGCCCCAATCTGGCCAGCTTCTCAGACAACACAAGTGTGAAGGCTCACCATGTTTACTTGGACTACCCCTGCTTCAAACGGGCTTGCTCTTACAAGAGGTCAGGGAGGCCTGTGGTTTTCATTAGTGATCTATCATCCCTTTCACTTTCTCACTCAGCCCTCCTTGCCCAAGGGCCTCTGCCCCACTGCTGCCCGGTCCCGCTCCCAGAGATTGATTTATACTGTATGAGATGCCCACATTCTGTCTGACTTCACAGAGTGGTTTCTTCGTTTCTTGTAGTCTGTAAGGAAGGTTCAGTGGTCAGGAAGAGAAAAATGAAACCTCTCTCAAATCTCATCAGGCAGTAGATTAGGTTAGGACCGTGACCAGCTAATGTTTCTTTTTGTCCCCTCCTAAATAAAGCCATACTGTGTGTACATACAGGGGTCGGCAAAAGTAGACAGGAACTCTCTGTGCCAAAGTGTGCTTAAGTACAGCAAGTAGGCTACAAGAATGTGTAAATGAAGGGCGGCAATTTGAGCACTTCCAAGATTATACCTAACTGCACTGTGCCTTTGTGACATTCTTTTGAGTTAACGCTATTGTAATAATCACAACCTGCATGCCTTTTTCCATACAAACAACCACAAACCTACTTTTGCCTACCCCTGTATATTCTAGAAGTCAGATATTTGTAACTACAGGAGTAGCATGACAAGATGTAAATAAAGGCAGACTAACACTTCAGAGTGACACGTAACCCGTCGAAACAAGTGAGCAGCACAGGAGATCTCAGGCCTGTCTCTGCTCTGTTTTGGACACTGTTCTTTCCATCTTCATTTGATTCCCTGGGCAGAAACATCCTCTTCTCATGGCGGGGGAAAAGGATAAATAATTTTGCCTGGGCCTGTGTGATACTCACTCCAGGAACAGTTGGTTAAGTAAGTAATGACTTGAGAGAGAGTTTGTTCTGTTTTTCTGTTTTCGTTTTTATCATGATGTTGCTGTTCCTGAGGAGCTGAGAAATTTCACCCTTCTAAGAATCAGGTTGGAGGTCCTTAATGTTTCATTCATTTTCTATTAAACATAGGCGCAGGTTCAGAAGACTAAAGACCTGCTCAATAACGTGGCCTCTGACGAAGCTAATTTAGAAGCCAAAATTGAAAAGAGGAAGTTAGAACTGGAAAGAAACCGGAAGCGACTCCAGACTCTGCAGAGTGTGAGGTAGATATGAAAACCCAAAGAAGGAATAGAAAGCTGTCTTTGTAAGTTCAAACAGACTGAGAGAATATATTGTCAATGATATTAACCCTCATTGTGTGAAGCAGTGGAAGAAGCTTCACATAAGACTCTCTACTTCAGAATGTACATGTGTTGCTTGTTTCAAACAATCACACCACTAAACTCATTCTCTTTACTGCTTTCAATATGTCTGAAAAACTGCTTAATTTTTGAACTTCCGTTCAGCTTTTATAGCTTCTTGGAACTGAAAACAAAGTAATTAAATCCAGGTGGTAAGAGTTATGCGAGACTTGGTCTCCTATGATCTGGCTTTGCCATAAATTAAGTGGAAACAGAAACTACTTCCATTTATTGGTTTAAATAGACCTTAGACTTTTATTTCCTCACCAGTAGTAATTCATCTGTCTTCTGACTTTTCCTCACTGAAAGTAGGTTTTCCAGGGAATGCAGATAGATGATAGTGGTGCAAAACACCTTCTAGGGCATTGGGGATTTCAAACATATTCTTATTTTCTTGGATCCATCTATCTCTTTCTCTCTCTCCCTACCCCCTCCTCCTTTTCTCTCTTCCCTACCTTCTGCTTTGTACCCTTCTTCCTTTGCTGTTTTTTGGTTTTTCTTTCTCCCATGCTGTTACCCTTTCTTCCTTTTCAATTTCCTTTTATTTTTCTCCCTTTACTCTTTCCCCGTCCAGTAGCTGTATGTGCTCTAAATGCGTCTTGCTCTTTTGAGATTCTGGTGATGGCCCACAGTCTGGCTGCTGTCCTGAGATCTGGGGGGAGCACCTGGGAAAGGCTTCCTTCAAGCCAAGGGACTGCACCCCTGCCTCTAGAATCAGGGCCACCAGATAGATTTGTTTCATTAAAAAGTTCTGCCTTTCAAGTGTAAATTCATTTTTTTGTTAAACCTCAAATCCTTTTCTTAGAATAGTTTCTGTGTTTTGCTTTAGTACAGGAGATACAGGAGATTATAAAATTGTTTTTTAGTTTATCTGTTTATTTTTAAAAGAACAGTGTTTTCCCTTTAATAAGAGAAAAAAGTAATTCAGCAAACCAGTTGAAATTGCTTTTTATGTTATGGTTTTGGTTTTCAATTGTATATTGTTTAAAAACTTAGCTTTAATTTGTAGCAACCTCTATTTCCTTTTTTAGGGGACTGGTTAAATTTTTGAACATCTAGACAGCAGAGTATTATGCCCAACTAAGATAATGTATCTGTTGATTTTGAGAGCTGTGTATGGTATATGCTAATTTTTAAACTCTTCATTAAAATCTGTGGCATATTGAGTAATGAAAAAGACTGCAGAGCTTCATTTAAGTCAGCGATTTTCAACCTTTTTCATCTCATGGTACAAATAAACTGCTAAAATTCTGTGTCACTAAAAAATATTATATTTTTTGCTAATCTGACAAAAAATAAGTATAATTTTGATTCATCCACAATGAAAGGTTACTGCTGTGTTGGGCTGTTGTCATTTTTTATTTGACAGTCGAAGGGAAAAGAAGACAGTGCCCCTGACTAAATAGTTGGATATTGCATGTTTTAAAATTTCTTGTGGCACACCACTGTGCCATGGCACACTGGTTGAAAATTGCTAATTTAAGGTAATATACTTAATGTTTGTTAAAAAATGCATTTTTCTATGTATCTATGTTTGGAAAAGTCTGGAAGGAAGTATGACAAACATTAAGTGCTTATACCTGGTGATAGGATTATGAATCAGTTTTACTTTATTCTTCATACTTTCAGCGTTTTTTACAAAAATCACATCTTTTTGATTAAAAAAAATTTTCATTTTGGGAGGAGAAAATGGAAAAGGGGAAATTAGCTTCAAGTAGTTAGAGTGAAGCACCTTCACCAATTAATTCAAAGCTTTTCAAAGAAAACCATAATGGAATATGAAACTCTGAATACCAGTTTCAAACTACTGTATGTTGATTAATCTTTCACTTTTTATTTCATTTGATCACACTAGACCAGCCTTTATGGATGAATATGAGAAGATTGAGGAAGAATTGCAAAAGCAGTATGACATTTATCTGGAAAAATTTCGAAATCTGTCTTATCTGGAACAACAACTTGAGGATCATCATAGAATGGAGCAAGAGAGATTTGAGGTAAGTGTATAACCAGTTCTTCTCCACACACCATTCCTTCTGGTTTGTTACTTTGTACCTATAGACAAGTCAATTTGTAAATATCATTGTGGAAAAAAAATCAGTTAATGTTTGACATTAGTTTTCAAACTAATCTCGATATTGGTTTATGATCAGGGTTTGGGTCCATTAGGTCTATAGACAGAGCTAACATGTGACCTGTGTAGTCACACAGGACTTTGAGCTTAGAAGAATCTGTGCTTGCTTTGATGTTTAACTGTTGCCATCTTGAAATCCTTAATAATTTTTTAAAACATTTTATTTATTTATTTTTAGAGGCAGGGAGGGGAGGGAAACAGCATTCGGTTGGCCCTCAAACGCCCCGAACTAGGGACCTGGCCTGCAACCCAGGCATGTGCCCTGACTGGGAGTCAAACTGGCAGCATTTCAGTTCCCAAGCTGGCGCTCAATCCACTGAGCCACACCAGCCAGGGCTGAAATCCATAATAATTTTTAAGTGCATTAGATTTTGCACTGAGTCCCACAAATTGTGTAACTGGTCTGGAGTCTAAAAACATGCTCAGTCAGTTCACTTAAGGATTTTTCAAGCCCTGATTAATTGAATCATCCAAACTGACTTATCAGAGAATGCTTTATAAAGAGGAATTGCAGTTTATTCATTATTCTGGGAAATATTATGACCCAGAACCTGACCAGTTGTCTTACGGGTTCCCTTCATCCCAATGTTTAAGGCCATCCAGGAAGAAGGAGTATTTCAAATCCCAGCGTGACTTGGTAAATACGGAATTCAGAGCAAAGAAAGTTGAACCAGGTTGCTCTCACCTTTTGAATTGCCCTTATCCCTTAGGAATGTTATTGTTTAGCCCAAGAATAGTCATTTGGAACCTATATTCATGGTGAATTGATTTACAGTCTCTCCTTACACTGTCCCTGACAGTGTAAGCTTTGGTATAAAGGTTATGCTAGCTTTCTTACAAACTGGATGTTTGAATTAGATGGTACTGTTTTGCTGTCCATGAGGGTTGGCTGGAAGTAACTACTGCATTCATATGGACACATTTATCTTGATGAGGATCCTGTTGCCAACATTACTGTATAGTAGAGGCAGACCTTGGAGGAACAGGGTATAGGACAGGCACGTTTTGAGGGCAGTGGAGAAAGCCTAGAGTCCAGGACATTTTAAACATCGGGTGCCTGCGAAAGACCAATAAAGGGCTAGTGAAAATAAACTGACCATTTTGTACTGTTGTCTGGGGCCACATCTGGGTTCAGAGAACACACTGAAGATCATGCCACAGCCTGCATATTCCTCTTCCTACAGGTACTTAACCTCTTTTTTCTTCTTTGGCTGCACCTACTCTCTATGCTGCTAATACCTGGTTCATCAAAATGTCTTGCGCCAGAAACACAGTACTTTCTTTTTAATGTTTATAGTAACAACAAATTTTTAAAGGCTAATTTTCTTTCCCATTTTCTATTTTAACAGTAATCAGGGCCACATTTTATAACCTAACTGAAATACTAGCTTTTCTTTTTTAATCCGCTAGGAATTAAAAGAGCAAGAGGCCTGTAGTGCCCATAGTTGATGCATCTATGTAGGCACACACGATGAGTATTTCATTGTATCATTCAGTTGTCTTCAGAGACACTGAGGTGTAGTGGGAAGAGCATGGATTTGGGGCCAGTCAGGCCCTTCTTAGGTCAGTTATGTCCCTTCTGAGACCCTCCGTTTCCATAGGGTTGCTGGGTGATTATAGAGAGAAATAGTGTCAAGTTTCCCAGCTGTAATGGTATCTCAGGCAGTGATAGTTCCCTTCCCCTCCCTTTAGTTTAGTTTTTTTTTTTCTAGTTCTATATCACAAACTCAGCAGTACTTACTCAAATGGTAAAGAATAACAAAATGTCCAAAAAAAGGTCATCTCTTCCGTACCTTGTTGTTCCTGTTCCACAGGAAGCTGAAAACACTCTTCGTCTGATGCAGAACAAGCTAAAGGAAGAAGAAAAACGATTGCTCAAGAGTGGAAGTAAGTCTGTACGTTTTAAATAGCTGTGTTTATTCTGTGGTAGCATTTTTAGATTGAAAAAATTATATGTGTATTTTGTTTATTTTCAAAAGGCAATTTTCTCTCAACTTTTATATGAGGTACCATTTTAATTCAGTCAACAGCTCAAGAGACTAGATTAAATGACATACTATTTAAAGCACATTTGGTTTTTCTTTTTTAAAAGATTTTATTTATTTATTTTTAGAGAAAGGGAGTGAGAGAGACAGAGAGAGAAACAGTAATGTGTGGTTGCTTCTCACGTGCCCCCTCAGCTGGGGACCTGGCCTGCAACCCAGGCATGTGTCCTGACTGGGAATTGAACAGGTGACTCTTTAGTTCTCAGGCTGGCGCTCAATCCACTGAGCCACACCAGCCAGGGCTAAAGCACATTTGTTTTTCATGCCAACTAAAATAGTGTTTTTCTCTGTTTAAATGATAGTTTGAATTATATATTATATATAATTATAAAAGAAAATTTTGTCTTGGAGGTCTATAGAGTTGCTTATTTTAGGGCAGACTGATGGAAAACAGGCGACATAAGGTGGTGCAAATGAATAGGTCACTTGCTTAAAGATAGTGCCCCCCACCGCACACACCCATCTTCTGCGGAGCTATCACCTATAGAGAAACGAGAGTTACCTGTATATTAGATCTAGATTCCGAGAAGGAATTCCTCATGACTGGTTAGCACCCTTCATCCTTGAATTTCACCAAGGTGTCAAGTCAACCCCGGGACTGTAGCAGCATGTGATCTTTCTGATTTTGTCTCATAGAGTTACTTTTGTTTTGCTCTTTTTTCATGATGATATATTCTATTCTCTCATGCTCTGAGGTAGTATGCCTGGGACATCAGGCATGCTCTCTCTTGTCTTTTTCCTTTGTACCGCTCTCCTTTTGTACTTGGTCTGAGGCTTTCCTGAATTTCAGAAAACTCTGGAAGGAGAATAAGAACTGCTGGGAAATCCTGTTGGGGTAAGGTTAGGAAATTTCAAGGGCCTCTCTAGCCAAAGCAGCCCCTCGCCTTTATGGTTCCAGGTCAGCCAGGAGAGCCCGAAGCTGCCCTAAGTGATAAGCCTGCATGGAGTTTATACCCTCCTGGGAGGTCTGGCACAGGTAAGAGCTCTAGCTGGTTGGCTGCATCCCGCTGTGCCCCAGGCCAGCACATTAAGACCTTTCTCACTGATCTTGCTTTATTCTTCTGAGCTCAGACTTTCATTTTGTGATCCATAGCTTTGGTATATCTTGAAGCACCAAGATTCTTAGAAGAATGTGTGATTGAATTTTTCAGAAAAAATTTCCAGTTAAACCATCTTAATGAAGGGTAGCACTTAATTAGCTTAGAGTGAGCAGAAAAGTTGGGAAAATACTGGGTTGGCCAAAAAGTCTGTTTAGTTTTTTCCATAAAATAAAAGACACATTTTTCCTTTTCACCAGAAACTTTATTGATATGGATATTTTGAGTATGTCAGCTATCTCCCTGTTAATTATTCTCAATTAATGCCTCGATCAATCCCTATCGACTTCAACTGGTCTATCCAACTGTGGAGCATCGTCTAGTGAGAAATCTCCAGCACAAAACTTCAGAAACCTCTTTAGACGTGTCCAATGAGTCACAGCACCTTCTCCATACACTGCACAAATACTTTTTTTTGTTTCAGTTGCCTTTTTGCCTTTCTTGAAATAATAAAGCATAATATACCGGAAATGTATTTTCTTTCATATTCAATAGTAAAATGGCTACATAAAAATTCAACAATTTTGATACTTTTTTTAATGCACAGTGATATGTCAGCTGTCACAATGCAGTCTAACCAAATTGTTTCAAATGAAGTTAAAGACAACTAAGTGCTACTAGAGTCATCTTATGGAAAAAACCACACGAACTTTTTGGCCAACCCAATATTTATGAAGGACCATTCTCATTTCTACTCATCCTAAGATTCTTAAGATGGCCTCTCTGTCTTTGCTTTTCTGTATATGTGAAAACATTGCCCAGAGTACTGGCATCAGGAGGAGATATATAAAGGAATTTTTCTCCATCTGTGAAAGATTCCTCCAAACAGAAAAATCTAATAGTACATTGACATGAATCAGGAGCAAGAATTAGTAAAATCTAAGAGCTGGAAGAGATCGTTTTGTTCAGGCCACTCTTCAGGCAGCTGATTCAGCCTATCAAAGCACTGTTAAATATCTGTTCCTGGTGCTAAGGATACATGAGTGGACCAAAGACAGGAATCCTTGCCCTAACCAATCTCACATACTAGCAACATGCTAGCATGCTAGGAGATAAGTAATATGCAGGCTATATGTGGAAGGTGAAAAATGCCATGGGGAGCAGGTAAGAGGGAGGAATAGAGAAGGTGTGACAGGATTGCAGTTTTAAATAGAAGATTAAGACAAGCCTCATCTACTCGGCCTGACCACCCTGAACACGCCTGATCTCGTCTGATCTCGGAAGCTTAAGCAGGGTTGGGCCTGGTCAGTACTTGGATGGGGGGATAGGTCTCACTGAGGAGATGCTATGTCAGTGAAGAGTGAATCAGCGGATCTGGGGATAAAGGAGATACCAGATGAGGAAAGCCCAAAAAGACTGGGAGCCAGAGCCCAGGTGAAGGGATGAGTTTCACTGAGGAAATGTGTGAACACAGAAGACTTAAGTTCAGGTAAGTTAGATGAGCTGGAAGGTGTAATGTGTTTGAGGGGCTCATATCTGACTGGTACCATCCTTGTTAAGCAGGAGGTGAAGTCATCTTGGACTTGGGTTTGGTGGTTTAGAGTAAGGTACTCGAGGAAGAGGAAGTTTGAGTGATTAGAGGTGGGAGAATGCCATGGAGGCCCCAGAGATTAAAAAGGCAAAGTAATTTGTTCAGATACCCTGTAATGGAAGTCAAAGACAACTTTTCAAGTCTTCCCACCATCCATTTAAACCTCGTTGCTAGTGGTAAATTTATAACTGTGTCCTTAGTAGTGTTCAACACTGTAGCATTAGGAACTTAAAGAGTCCTCTAAATTTATAAAATAACCCAGAAATTTCTACAAAGCACTTGAGTAACTAAATGGGGTTCCTGGACCCGATTCCAGAGTGTGTGTGTGTGTGTATATGCACGCTTCTCCACACCAAGAAATTTTTAGACACCAGCAAGGTGTCCAAGAATTCAACTCAATTCTGATACTAGCTACCAAGAGGTTGCCGGGAGGTTGAATCAGATTCCAGAGGTGAAGAAAGGACTTAGTCCCACAAGATCACCCTCCACTTCAGATGCCACATTGTTACTTGTATTTGGCTATAAATCAGAGGTTTCTACAACACCCTCCATGGGTTTGATTAATTTGCTATAAAGGCTTATGGGAAAACCTATTTACTCACTAAATTACCGATGCATTGCAAAGGATATTAAAAGATACGAATCAGCAGCCAGCTGAAGAGATACACAGGGCAAAGCCTTGAACAGGAGGTTGTCCTTTTGGAGCTTGGGTGGCACATGGAAGCTCTCTGAAAAAGGCCAACAACATATTCCTTTTGTGTTTTTATAGAGGCCTCATTATGTAGTCATGATTGTGTAAATCATTGGTTGTTGGCAGCTGATTCAGCCTCAAGCTCCTCTCCCTTCCCTCAGAAATCAGGACTGAAAGTTCCAGTTCTCTAACCACACGGTTGGCTCCTACTGGCAACCAGGCCCCACCCTTGGGTGAGATTTAAGAGTCACCTCATTAACATAACAAGAGACACCATTGCTGCTCCCATCATTTTAAGAAGTCCTTGGGGTTTGGGAGCTCTGTGCCAGAAACAGGGATGAAGACTGAACATACATTTCTTCTTATAAATCACAGTGCCACAGTAACTTTGCTGTGATTCTGTTATTATGGTGTAGTGGAGAGCAAATGTTTATACATTTAACACATACAGGGTAGGGCAAAAGTAGGTTTTTAGTTGTGAGTACTCAAAACAGAGTTTATTCTTGTATTATTATGTATTAATTATTGTATTATTTTCCATGTGAACAACTGTAAACCTATTTTTGCCCCAAACTGTATTCACTGTGTCCCTACTGTGTGTCACGCCTTGTGCCGGCCCACAGTGATGGATGATGGGCTCAGGAAACTCCAGGTCTAGCACTCCTCTCTCTACTACCAAGCCATCAGCCAGGTGTGGTCTTGAGCACTTGAAATGTGACTAGTCCAAATTGAGGTGTGCCATTTGTAGAGAATATACACCAGAATTTGAAGACTTAGTATAAAAGAAAAGTAGAATTACTCATTAATAATTTTTTACACTGGTTACTTATTGAAGTGACATTTTAGGTATATGGGATTAAATAAAACATTAAAATTAATTCACTAGTTTCTTTTTACTGTAGTTACTAGAAAATTTAAAATTACCTCTGTCGCTGGCATTATATTTATGTTGGACAGTGCTGATCTAAAAGGAGAAACTTAAAAAGAAACTGCCTATAGTTTAGGTGGGTATAAAGTGGTACCTCATGGTGATTTTGATTTGAATTCTCTGATAGCTAATGAAATGTAACATCTTTTCCTGTGCTTATTGGCTGTTTGTGTATCTTCTTTGGAGAGATATCCAAGTCCTTTGCATATTTTTTAATTGGGTTGTCTTTTTATTGCTGAGTTATAAAAGTTCTTTATATATTCTGGGTACTATAATATATAAAGTATTGTATAAATGATTTAAGTGATTGGTGATTTGCAAATGATTTCTCATTCTTTAGGCTGTGTTTTCTCTTTTTGATGATGTTTTTGCTGTACAATGTTTTAGTGAAGTCCAATTTGTCTGTTTGAAGAGGGGGAGTGCGTTGCTTGTGCTTTTAGTGCCAGGACTAAGCAAGAAATCCCTGCTTAATTCAAGGTCACCAAGATTGACTCCTGTTTTCTTCTAGGAGTTTTATTGTTTTAACTATTACATTTAGGTGTCTGATCCATATTAAGTTAATTTTTATATATGATGTGAGGTAAGGATCCAACTTCATTTTTTGTGTGTGGCTATGCAGTTGTCCCCGCACCATTTATTGGAAAGACTGTTCTTCCCCTGTTGAATTATACCAGCACCATTGTCTGTTGTACTTAATTTTAGCATGTAACTGACAACTCTGCTTTCAGTGTCAGCATGCATTTACCTATGGGGTTGGCCAAAAAGTTTGTTTGGTTTTTCTGTAAAATGGCTCTAATAACACTTAGTTTTCTTTAACTTCATTCAAAACAATTTTGTTAGATCGTATTGTGGCAGCTGACATATAAGCAAGCATTTTAAAAAATGTATCAAAAACTGGTGAATTTTTGCGTAGCCATTTTAATATTGAAGATGGAAGAACATACACAACATTTTCGGCATATTATGCCTTATTTCAAGAAAGGTAACTCAACTGAAATGCAAAAAAAGGATTTGCGCATTGTATGGAGAAGGTGCTGTGACTGATCAAACATGTCAAAAGTGGTTTGCTAAGTTTTGTGTTGGAGATTTCTCACTGGACAATGTTTGGGTAGACCAGTTGCAGTTTATAGCAATCAAATCAAGATACTAATTGAGGAGAATCAACATTATACCATACAGTAAATAGCCAACATACTCAAAATATCCAAATCAATAAAGTTGTTAGTGAAAATGAAAAATGTGTCTTTTATTTTTTCAACAAAAAAAAACCACACAAAACTTTTTGGCCAACCCAATACTTAGTCCTCAGTGTATAGCTTTGAGTTGTCAGAAGAAATCAGGTTGAGCCTGAGACATGATTTTGCCTATGTAGTTTTAAAATTCATAATATCATGTGATTTCTGTTGCATTTGTTACGGACTTAATATCATAATTTGTCCCGGGTAAAGTAAAAAGTGAACTAAGCTAAACAGTGATTTCATTTTATAGTCATTAATTTGCATTAATATTTAATCATATTCTCTGTAAGGGCTTTTGTAAGGTGGTAATTTTCAGATTGATTGTGTTGAAGTCTTGCAAGATGATGTTGTTGACAGTCTCCGACGCCCAGGTCTGCCCCTCTGTGCTGTAGAGCACAGCTCTTCTCTCCATGGCTAAGAAAGTAGAAAACTTTCACTCAGTGCTCAGCTGGAGGCAGCCACCATTTCATTACCCTCTTAGATCAGAGCCTAAGCAAAGCCTTTTTGTAGATGAATACTTACTATACTTCCAAATTGATTTAAAGTCAGTAATCAGAGCAGCAGCTGCAAATTTCCCCAGTTCCATCCTTAATACCTATGTCTCTCCCTGGGTACAGAATAGTCAGGGACTGGGTGGTGAACACTTTTCCTCCCCACTGCGGAAACTCTCATGCCACAGGTTTCCACTGGGAAATGTTCACCCTGCACAAAACTCCAGAAGAGTATTTAAGAAATTAATGTAAAAGGCATTATGTAAGGTAGTATTGAAAATGACCTTTCTTTATATATCTTTAAAACGGAATTTTCTCCAGTAAAGAATATCGTGAGCACCAGTCTTCATTGCCAGTCACCAGGTTACCGTCTTTCTCGTGCCAGCCCTACTCGGGCCGCGGTTAGCCTGGCCTCCTGCCTGCCTCCGGTCTTGTTTTGGTGCAGTCGCTGACATCTTTGTTATCCTCAAGGAGCTTGAGTTCTGGTAACACAGCCTAAGACTGAAAAGAGAATTCTTTTTCCCCCTCCAATTATCTTGACAACTAGCTATTCAATTGTTTAGTTTCCCCTACTGGAATAGTGATTCTTTCTAATATATCTGGCCTACTTTTTTCTAGCTTTGGAAAATTGTTTTTGGAAAAAAAAAAAACAAAAACACCCCAGCCCACCATCTGCATTAACTCTTCCCTAAGTATCTCCAAGCAAATCCTGAGAGTCTCACAAAATCTAACACATCAGATTCTGAGAGGTGCAGATGACTCTTGCAACAGCCTTCTGGGCAGAGGCCGCTTCAGAAGTAGTGATGGATCTACTCCCCCCAACCTTTTTTGGCTTACTTGTGTTCCTACCAGGGAATAATGACTCGGACACTGACATCCAGGAGGAGGATGAATCTGACAGTGAACTGGAAGAGAGACGGCTGTCCAAGCCACGGACAGCCGTGGAGGTGCTCATGCAAGGTACGATGGCTTCTTTCACTTGCCGTCCTCCCTGTGTCTGTCACAGAACAGGGGCCAGGATTGGGTCAGAGCTGCGTGGTATCGAGGCCTGTGAGCACACTGGGAGTGGCCCTGATCTGGGCTTTATCAGTGGTCATCTCTGGTCCCAAGAATGGCCGATTCTTATTTGTGGCTTGGTGTTTCTCAGAGTTCACAGGAACACACTGCCTCTACCGCTGAGCTATATTCTGCCCTATTTGTGTCCAAAACTGCTGTCCAGAGCAGTTACATACCTTATGGTCAGAGAATTAATGTACGAAGAAGGGACTTACAAAAGCACCTCTGCCTTTTAAAAATGTTCTTCTAATTTCTACTTTCTCACTGCAGCAATTCCAGCAGTAAAGTGTGTGGAGGATATCTGAGTGGGGATTTGCTCATGTCCCACTCCCCACCCTAGAGGGGTCATGGCCAGTGGCCTAAGAGTGTGCCGTTCCAAATCGCCTTTACACACACACATACTCAAACATGGACACAAAGGTTACCTGAAATCTTTTTTTGACCTGAATAGGACCAGACTATGTGTCTGGTTCTGCAATCTGCTTTTTAAAAAGAAATTAAATATGTTGCCCTGGCTGGTGTGGCTCAATGGACTGAGAGTCTGTCTGCAAACCAAAAGGTCGCCACTGGTTTGATTCCCAGTCAGGGCACATGCCTGGCTTGTGGGCCAGGTCCCCAGCTGGAGGCATGTGAGAGGCAACCAATTCATGTGTCTCTCTCGCACATCGATGTTTCTCCCCTCCCTTCCCCTCTCTCTGAAAATAAATAAGTAAAATCTTAAAAACATAATTAAATATATTATACTCTTTCCATGTCTGTAAAATATAGATCTGCTTCCTTCTTTTTGATAGTTTCATAGTATTCCACAGTATGGCTATACCTGTAATTTACTTGGGCATTCCCATATTGATAGATACTTAAGCTATGTCTACTTTTTTTCTTGTAGGTGCATTTTTCTGCATATGGGCAAGTGTTTCTTTAGGCCGTATCATTAAAAGTGGAATTCTTAGGTCAAAGATTATATAAATTTAAATTCTGATAGATACTACTAAATTGCCCTGTATTTGCCTTTAAAAACCTTTCTTATGTACCACTTGTTAATTTTTTGGAGCACAATTGCATTTTTATATACATATTAAATATAAGTAGTAAATCATCTTCCTTTGATCATTTCATATTAACTTTTTTTGCTAACTGCTTTCTCTTATTCTAGGTCCATCTATTTTTATTTATTACATTTCGCCTTTTTATAGGATAGTTAGATGCTCTGATTTTCTTTTTCTTCCTTTTATTTTTTAACAGCTTCATGACATCAATAGAGGTTAGAGGTTATGGCTCCCATTCCACATATGGGAGCCAGGGTTCTAAAAAGGTATGTGATTAGTTTAGTAAAGATATTGGTGCTCCTAAATTCTACTTCTGACCACACTGCAGAAGTGAAACAACACAAGCTATGTATTTTATCTGACCCAAGGAAAAGTTTTCATAAACAGATCTTGGAGGTCACATCCAGGCCTGTCCTGAGTTAGCTCCTCTCTAAGCCGCCCTCACTGCCTTTCTCCTGAGGCCTGGCCCTCAGGTCAGGGGTGTTCCTTTCTCAGCCTTCACGTGTGAGAGCAGTTCTCTGTCTCCACTCGGTGAAGGATGCCTCCTGAGTTTTTGCAGAAGTCACATCTAGACAACATTGACTTTCAAAGAAGGAATGGAGAATCACTCAGATAGTGATGATGTTTGAAAGATCAACTAATTGTGATATTTAAACTTTTTCTTTTTGAAACTGACATTGCACTAAGTACAAGTAACATGGGTCCATAAGGGAGAATATATTTCTTTTCTCAACAGATAGCATACCTCTTCTGCTGTGTATAAACTAATAATGGGATTCCGTGATTTTTCCCTAAAACATTTGTAGGTTGCACCTGTATTTGTCTGATTTATGTTTCATGCTTACATTTTACTGCCCTTTTCCTGGTTTCACTGTGGAAATACAAAAAGTCCATCACTGTTTGTCAGCAGTCCTAAGTTGGATGCTTCTTCAGTAAATTTTTTATGATTCTTTTTTTCTCCGATTTTCTAAAGGAAAGCAAATCTTGAATGCCGATTCATGCCTCATTATACAAGGTTTTTTCAATTTCTTCATGCTTTTTGTTCTCCCCAGGAAGACCTAGCAAAAGCATCGTGGGCACAATGCAAGGTGGAGACTCGGATGATGATGTGAGTTCTGACCAGCGTCCTTTAGCAGTTGTGTTCTTTCTGGTCTGGGGCTGGCCTCAGTGACTAGATTAGCCAGGAACTAAGCACATCTGACCAGCTTAGTGTGAGGTGTGGCTTCTCAGCCGAGCTCATCACTGGTTTTGTGGCAGAGTTTGGCCTCCCAAGGAGCTGGACTCTCTTCTTTGTTTGTTGATGGCTCATTTCTTTTCAAATGAACCTGCTTGCCCTGCCTTTCTTTTTTTCCCCCTTTCTCACTTTCTGTCTACTCTCACTTTCCAAAGATGGAAGGACCACCATCTCTATTAGGTAAATGCAAGACCTCCAGCTCCAAGAAGCAGGTTGGTTTTCTTTTTCACCTCATTCATTTACACGTGCATGCGTGCGTGCGTGTATGCTCGCTCAGGGCCAGCAGAGAGCCTTCCCCAAGAGTGATGCTTCTGTCTCTGGGGTAAAAAGCCACTCAAAATGAGTCCCACAGTGAATGGTGAAATTACCTAAAGGTTTCTATGTTAAGGGGGAGGAGTGAGGGCTGAGCCAAGGGATAAGAAATGTTATGGTTGGGGAATCACCTGGCCCTTGAACCATAACCTAGAAAGGGAGGGATGCTGCTGAGGGCGGGGGGTCAAGACTAGTGCTCTCTTCAGCTCCATTCTGGGGAGGAATCACGAAAAGGAGGCTCTTCTGAGACCAGGGCCTCAGAGAGGATGGGCAAGGGGCTATAGCACCTTGAACGTTATTCAGTGGATAACTGACTGAGAAATGAACCAGAATGGGGAGACAAGGGGTCCCTGCTGGGGCCCAGCTGTTAGGGCTCTTCCATCCATCAGTCTGGGCCTGCGTTCTTTGTTGCAGCCTCTGGCATTACTGTGAGTCCCAAGAGGCAGAGTGACTAGACTGATCCAGTCACAGACCTCCCCCACAGGTTGGATGCCATAAGTGTCTAGAGTGTGGCACTAGTGGCACACACAGACAGAGGATGGGCCTTATGTTCTCGTGCAAAAGGCCCATTTATTTATGACCAGCAGTGTGTGCTATCACAGACATTCGCAGGAGAAAGAGGTGATTCAGATGTGCTGGGGAGGGCGCACGGAAAAGATAGAGCCTTAAACACACAGAAGGCAGTCTTCAGAAAAGCAGAGAAACCACCTCAAAAATTTTAACAGGGTAGGGTATGGATGGTTAAACAGCCTCTATCCACATAGCTTACACATCCAAGACAGAAATAAGGGAAGTCTGGTGTGGGAACTGCCCGGAGAGCCCTGGCTCACCTCTTTTCTTGATTTGCTTGATCTTTTGTATTGCTTTCTACTTTTCAGAACAAGTGCAGTGTGGTAGCTTAAATCGGTTCTGTGCCTGTTGTTGCTTATTTATTTCAAGGAGGCTCTTTTCATGTACCACCCGCCAGGCCTGGAAGACTGTCTTTCATGTGTTCACTCAGTCACTGGCCAGGTAGTTTTCAAGGGCCTGTTAATGTGTGTGACGCTCTTATGGATTGTGGGGAAGACAGCTGTGAATAGAAATTAGGTCCCTGCCTTTATTAAGCTTATGGTCCAGCAGTAGTGAGGCAGATACATCAGGGCTCTTAGTGGTAAGAAGAAAAATAAAGTAGGTTTTGGAACAGAGTGACAGGGATGAGGAATGTGTTTTGATTGGTCAGGGAAGAGCTCTCTGATAAGGTGACATTAGGGCAGAGGCCTAGGAAGGAGGGACATGGTGCTAGGAGGGAGAGGCATCCTGGTCCCAGGAACTATGGTTTCTGCATTCAAGGACCAGAGGTGATGGTGTGACTGGAATGGAATGAATTGGGGGCAGGAGCAGCAGGAGAGGTAGTAGGGGCTATACAGAGCTTTGCAGGACGTGACGAGGACTTGACATTTTCTCCGAGTACAGTGGCAAGGTGCAGAATCCTGAGCCCAGGAGTGCCGAGAGCTGACTCACATTTAAGAGAGCCCAGAGAGGAGGCACTTTCTTGCAATAGTCTAATGCAGAGGCGATGGTGGTGGTGGCTTAGCCTTGGGTGGTAGCAGCGGAGGTATCGGGAAGTGGTCAGGTTCTGAACATGTTTTCAAGGTAAGAGCCATCAGGTTTTGTTGATTGGACAGGGGGTGTTAAAGAAAATGAGGGATTCCTTGGTTGTGGCATAATTGGCCAAAAGCATAGTTTTCATCTCCTGAGCTGGAGTGGACCTGAGGAAGGGGCTTGGAGAGCAAATTGAGAATTTGGTTTTTAGACATTCTTAGTGTGAATTTGCCCTGCTAGGTGTCCACATGCTGGTGCTGAGTTGAAATTCAAGTCTAGAGTTCAAAGTCAGGTCTAGGTGGTCTTTAAGTATGAGGATACATGTGATTACTAGGGAAAAGAGAGAAGAAAGAGAAGAGAGGAGGCCAAAGGCCCTGAGCTGATTCCACATTGTGGAGGTCAGGGAGACGAATAGGGTTGGGCAAGCGAGACAAGACACAGGAAGTAGTGTGAGAACCTAAAGAGAAGGGCGCTCTAGAGGACAGAAGAGTAGATGCCAGGGAAGAAGGCACCCGTAGGTCAAACAGGAGGACGGAGAATTACGCTATTGGAATAGAACGTGCTGAATGTGTCCGTCTTGACAAGAGCAGCTTGCGGGGGTTGGTGGGGTGAGAGCCTAACTAGAGTGTACCTAAGAGGCAATGAGAGGGGACAAGCAGGGACAGTGAGTCCAGAACTTATTCAAGGAGTTTTGTTGTGAGGGGAATAGAGAAACAGGGCAGATTAGCTGGAGAGGAAGATAGGATTAAATTTTGAGGGTTTTATTTTATTTTATTTTTTTGAAGATGGAAACTACAGTGTATACATATACTCATGGGAATGATTTAAATAGAGTGACCAACTCTCCTAGTTTACCTGGGATACAAGACTTGAAGTTTTAAAACCTGGCTGAATTGGTCACCCTAGATCTGGATAATGGAAGAGAGTATTTCTTATATTTTGCTCCTTAGGCTCATTTTCTGGTTGCTTTCCATCCCCACTCTGTCAAAAGCAAAATAAGCTCTCCTTCCCTTTCTCCAAGCCTCCACCCTCTCTGCTGTCCACTGGCGGGTCTCTGGGCGGGCTACCAGGAGCAAAGCAGCATCCAGTGAGCCTTGGTACAGGCGTGGTGGTCCTGAGATGTCAGTGGGAAAGCAGCCCCTGCGGCACCAACGTTGGATTGCATGTTGGTATCTGAACATCACCAGTTAGTTGATACCATGATCTCTGTATTCCAGCCAGTAACATCTAGATGTTGGTTCATTTTTATGTCCTCACATCCTGACTGCTTCTCTGCCAAGCTCCTCCTTCACGTGGGAATGTTGCTAGTTATTGAGCTAGTGAAAAAGTGAGGTAGGGTCTTGCTGATAAGTTGTCAGGAGCAAGATGGGACCCTCAGTTGTATTTGCTGTCTTTTTCATATAGGAAGACTCAGAGGACAGTGAGATTGACATGGAAGATGATGAAGAAGATGATGATTTGGAAGACGAGAGCATTGCTCTCTCTACAGCTAAACCCAGTCGAAGGGTCCGGAAACCTGAGCCCCTGGAAGAGAGTGACAATGACTTCTGACCTTTTTACCAAGGGATCCATATAGATTAAAACCCTCAGATTTGTAGGTTTTACAATCCTACATTTGCAGGCAATGTAGAGGATTAGGAAGGAAACATATTTTGTTTGCTAAGACAGTTGGACTGATTGTTAATGAAGTAGTACCTGTTTTTGCTTTAGCCTCCTATGTGTAACTCCATGAAGCTTAAACAAGAACCAGAGCAAACCCCAAAGATGATTCTTTCTTTTTTCTTTTTTTTTTTTTTTTTTGCCTTATCATCTAAAACTTGGGTAATGAGTGTGTTCGTAGTGATACATATCCACAGGACAAAAAACCTGAGAAGAAATAAGTTTCTATGTAAGTTTTGATTATTGTTGTTGTCACATATATCCTTAAATAGTCAGTGAGACAAACCTGGGACTGGGGCAGCACACAAATACTCATTTTAGGAATCAGTGTCAGACTGTTAATCACTTGTACAACTTAGAGGCTGTTAATTTTAGCCTTTATTTAATTTTATAGTCTTATTTTTCCTTCTGCATGCTTACAATACCAAGCTTTAAATGTATTTTACTAAAATTTTCGGAATGAAAGCTCAATAAGATGAAAACCAACTTTTCTTGAAAATCAGGCAACAGAAGACACTCCAGATTATAAAGTCTCCATTTTCTCTCAGAAGGATAACATTCCTTCCTCGGAAAGCAAACTAAGGAAAAAGTGTTAGTACAGACTTGTGTTTCTAACTTAAAAAATAAACCAGAATTGAATTATGTGAGGTGTGAGAAGCACGCCAGACTCTGGATCTGAGGGTCCCTGTCCAGAGGTCAGCTGAGGAAGTTAGCAGAGCTCTGAATCCCACAGAGCCCGTCCCAGGGTCGTCACGGATGGGGGGAAATGAAATGAGTCTTACTGGACACTTCTCTGTCTGCCAGGAGAGGGGAAGTGGCTCTTCCCTCTAGTGGAGAAGGCAGCCTGAGCCCCTTTTTCCAAAGGCTTTTATTGAAAGGGTTATCGACGAGGCTAGGTAATAGGAATGTACAGGTGATCTCATTACATCAGTATGTTAATGTTCAGAAAGATGATGTTGAGGAAAACAAATGGCAGGAACACACCGATTTACATGGGTCCAAGATGAGACGAGTAAACATGAGAACATAAATATAAGGGCGCCAAAGGGTTTAGGGTCCGGGTCTGTAAATAATGTACATTTCCTTCCCAGCATGAGCTGGTTATCATATCTTTTGAGGGAAAAACAAAGCATGCTTCAAAGAATTTACCTCTAGGCCTGATTTCCCCTGGGAACCGCCAGATCCAGTTTAGGGCTGTCTCCAGTATTGTTTCAAACCTGAGCCAGGCATGGGGAGGGCAAGGCAGGCAGGAAATAAGGAGACTTGTTTCAGATAGAATGAGGACCCTGGCTATATCAAAGCCAAGGGGTGAGGGTCTTTCACCCGTTCTTCACATCCTCCAATTTTTTCCCTGATGCCCGTTGCAGCTGTGCCTGTCTTAGGTTTCCCCTTCCATCAAGGGATCTTGCCCATCATTGACCAACCAGTCATCCTCCAGGGCCAAGCAGGGTGATGTGAGGGAGGCAGGGGCACAGCCCCTGCCAGGGGGACATGTTTTGTCTCCTCAGTGGTCTGTTTTCCCAAGGCCTCCTTGATTAGCTCCAGCCTTGGGGCCCTCTCGCCTGTAGGAGGGCTACAGTTCCTGAAACCAAACAGGGTGTTTCCCAACACTGAGGAACACTGGAATTTCCCTATTGTGAAAAGAGAAGTGACAGATAGGTGGTGCTGTGTTTTTTGTTTTTGTTTGTTTTTTCAAAAGCACAGAGTAGTTTTCATTTGCTTTTTTTTCCCCCATTTTAAAAAAATCTTTATTATGTTTTTTATTACCATTTAGTCCCCTTATATCTCCCTCCCCTCAGCAGTCACTACACTGTTGTCCATGTCTATGAGTCCTTCATTTGTTTTTTGATTATAAAGTCAGAAGACTTCTGAAGTAACTTTTCTTACTAAATGTATTTAATACCATATTTTTTACATTATTAAGTGTTTTACTTGAAAGTATAATTATTTTGTTTATTTTCACCAATAACAAATACTTGAGAAAAGTTCACAGGTTAATATGGTACATGTAAATTTTAAGAGACTATGTGACAGTTACATCATCTTTGCTTTTTTATCTTATATTTTCCTAAATTTTATGTATGAGATTACTCCTTTTTTAAAACATTCAAGATTCATTTAATTCATCAGTAATTTAAGATATGCCTTCTTTGAAGCAATAAACTAAATGGGAAATAGATGTGTTGGGAGCCATGATAACCATCTCAAATGCCATGGCTTCTAAAGTGCAAAAGAGGGGGACTTGTGGTCAAATGGAGCATAGGTAAATATGCTTTGCCTACATGCGCAACCACAGAGGAATTACAACTAGACCCCAAAACAGAACTGTCAGAGAATCTATCTATATGGAAGTCTGACAACCAAGGATTTAAAGAAGCCACATTCATCCAGACAGGGGGGAGGGGCAGAGACACAGTGTGGTGCAGAGGCAGTGGAGGCAGAATGGGCAATTTTCACTTTCACCTGTGGTGGAAAAAAATTGGGAGGGATATCTTGGGAGCAAGTGATCCCAGCCACAGGCCAGACCGCACAACCCAGGGCTCCAGTGCCAGGAAGATAAATCTCCATAACTTCTGGCTGTAAACACCAGTGGGGGTTGAAGCAGCAGAAGAAACTGGCGGATTTTCAGGAAACTGTTTAGAGAGCCTGCACAGGCAGAATGTACATAGACACCCCCTCTGTGATTCAGCACCTGGGCAACAGCTGGAAGGCACCAGTCACATATGAGGAGTAAGTGAAGTGACTGGAAACAGGGAGAGTGCTGTGCAAACCTCCCAAAGCCAGGCAGTGGCACTGTCCCCTCTGCAAGCCTTCACGTTACATAGAGCCACAAAGCGGAGAAGCAGGTTGCCACCCCCAGTGATAACCTAAGGCTCCCCGCCATGTAATTTACAGATGCCTATTCTATAATAGGGCATGCTAATAAGCCAGGGAGTTAAAGCAGCTCTACCTAATACACAGAAACAGGGAGGCTGCCAAATTGAGGAGACAAAGAAATAGAAATACAACCCAAATGAAAGAACAGAACAAAACCCCAGATAACTAAATGAAACAGATAACCAACCTATCATATGCAGAGTTCAAAACGTGATCAGGATCCTCAAAGAACTCACTGAGTACAGCAACAAAATAAAAAAGAACCAGGAAAAAATGGAAATTACACTAAGTGAAATAAATAAAAATCTACAGGGAATCAATAGTGGAGGGGATGAAACCAGGATTCAAATCAATGATTTGGAACATAATGAAGAAATATACATTCAACAAGAACAGCAAGAAGAATAGATGGGGATGTTAAGAATTGTATACGAAATGGAGAAGCCAAAGAACTTATATACATAACCCATGGACCTGAACTAAGGCGGGGATTGCTGGAGGGAATGGGGGTACTGGGTGAAGGGGAAAAATTGGGTCAACTATAATAGTATAATCATGAAAATATATTTTTTAAAAAACCACATCAAAAAATAAAAGTGCAAAAGAGTCACTGCATGTTCTTCAGTGTTATAGCTTTGATTGACCTGAGTCTGACCTGACATATTTTGAAAAAAACTAAAAATGTGTTTCTGTTTTCCTTGTGATTTCTTCTAATGGGCTTTAACATGGGAGTCCAACCCAAGCTACAGATAAAATGTTCATGGATAGAGTCAACAGCTCTAATGAGTGACTTATTCTTTCACCTGCTTCTTGGTCATCTTTGCTTCCTTGGTTGACTGTGCAGTCTCACCAAGGTGTTGCACTTCCTTACCTCAGTAACTTCTGTCAACAAAAGAGCTGCAAGTACTCTTAGTTACTAATCATAGTTACTAATGTATTCTAACTATAATGGATTCAGGAGTCAGATGTACAAGTGTCTTATGACCAGGTGTCATTTGATTTTAGCCAAGCAGCAGAGCACATACTCAGGCTCCAAAGAAGACTGAGTGAGTCAGTCCATGGAAAGCTAAAATTTACATCATTACTGAGATTTTTCTTTTTGTTTTCTTTCACTCTGTAATTGAAGGATTTCTTAAAATTCTTTAAAATACATGTATTGACAGAAAATACAAAGAAATTTTTTAAGTCCTCAATTTTTATTGGTGGTAGCCATGAAGAAAAAAGTCCAAAGAGTTCCAATAGGAAATCTGAAGAACTGTTTCCCTTTTAGCTAGAACAGGAAGGTGTCTTTCATTAGCATTGTAAACTATAATATTAATGTCAAACGTCTTAAGGGAAGATATGTTGCTTTAGGTTAACAACATACTACATAAATATCACAGCTGTTAGATTGGCCCAGGGGAACTCTTGGGAGCTAGAATCCAGGACTGGTTGAACTGGAAGGGAACTAAAAGATTCTACCTCCTACTCAGAACAGAAGTTCTTTCAATAAGGATGTAACTGGAGCGGGAAGACAAAAGGTTCAAGAAGGTGTATCATTAGAGAAAAATGGAACTGATGGAGTAACCAATGTGTCTGTGAGAGATAGTACTCAGATTTTACACTTCTCTTGGACAGTTTGGAAAAGAATCGAGCATAGTGACATAGAAAATTAAGTTAATTTTTTAAATAGTACAACTGTTAATTCTTTTTTTAAAAAATACTGATTTTAGAAAGAAGAAGGGAGAGAGAGGGAGAGACAGAAACATTGATTTGTCTTTCCACTTATTTATGCATTCCTTGGTTGATTCTTTTATGTGCCCTGACAGGATCAAACCCACAACCTTGGTGAATTGGGACAATGTTCAGCCAACTGAGCAACCTAGTCAGGACCACAGATGTTAATTCTAGAAAGAACAATTATATAGGAAGAAAATGACTCAGCAGTGATCCATACTAATAAGTTCAGAAACACTAAATAATGATTCAACCCCAACTCACACTGTAACTATGTTGGCAAGAGGAAGAAACAAAAAGTGGGGACATAAAGTGATACACACACACACCCCCCAGTGGCCATTTATCATAATATTTTAAAAATAGTCAACAGGTACTCTCTAAAATGATAAAGCAATAAATAGTGTATGTAGGGTACTTAGTTTTGGAGGTAGTGATATTCAGAAAGAGGAGGAGCAGGAAGGACAGAAGACTGCTATTTTCCGGTATAAGCCTAGTAATATTCTTTGG